AACAGCAAAGTGCCAAGAAGCTCACATATGGATTCCATCCCAAAATAACACCCGTCTGCTCTGTGAAACTATTAAAGCTAGGGATCATGGGACATTTTCAATGTAGTTTCTTTATTATTAATTTGGCAAGTGTTCTGCTTTCTCATAAGCTCGCCCATTCTGCCGCCTTAACACTCCCTCCCCTCCTCTCTCCAATGTCCGAAGCACTAAAGCAAAATAATGAGAGAGCCACATGCTGCTCTCCGCTACACACATGCCACCGCACGAGTTCAAGGAGGCTGCACAAAGACATATGAGGACAGCCCACGGCCAGCAATGCCTACAGAGCTACCTCACTTACAGTTATATGAAAACACCACACATCGCCTATCCAAACGTGTCTGATGAAAAGAGCATTTTCAGACTGGTAAAGATTTTTTTCTCATTTGCCACCTCAATGAACGGATCATTTTAAAGAGACTTTATATATAGCTACCCAAATAGATAAACAGTTTCAAGCCTCATAGCCTGGTTTATATAACATTTCCACCTATTTGCAATCACTGATGATGCAGTATCAATAAAGTGAAGAAACAAAATTAGCAGTGAATAGCCCAGAATTTACGAATTTGAACAAACTAAAATACATCTTTAACCCTAGAAATCAAAACAACCAATTGGTAATTCTTTTGCTTTGTCATTATTAAAGTATATACCATTTTTTTTACCCAGGATCTCACTGTATATTAACAGCTTAAATCACTTAACTCATATTACCACCATAAGATGCTTTGAAAGCAAACCGAATTACAAAACTATGAAGCAACTTATTCAATACTCTATGACCGGTCAGCAGGAGAATTAGGATTAGGAATCATGATGCCACATCCCCCACGCTAGCCAGTAAACAACAGAGCAAGAAAACAAAACTAAAACAACAACAGAAACCCCATGTTCAGGATGAGAAGTCTCAAATTACTCTGATGCAAAATGGTAAAAGCATCCCAAAGTCTGTATGTTTACCAAAAAGGCCATCTCTGCCTTACTGCCCTGTTAAGACAAAACCACAGAATAAAAGTAAATGCAAATACCTGTTTCCTGGATCTTGGTAACTGTCAGTAACAAGAGTGGATGGAACACCAACTTTTTCCATTATTTGCTTTAGCTAGATGTGGTTGCTATTTAAACCCTAAAGAGCTATGTGAGATAATCCAGAGGGTGCCTAGAAGTGCTCACTCCAAGTTAAAAAATAGACACTAGGGCAATTTGGTGGCTCAGAGTCAACCTAGTTCTTGCCTAATTACAATCACGTTAAATGACAGTACTCCTCCAGAACAAATGACCTAGTGATTATCCTCTACCCGGAAAAGTCAACAAGCAGTGCATGAGGGAGGTGGCCTCACAACCACACACACTAAGGAAAAGCTACCTAACAGCTACACATCCATCTTATTTCCGAATTAAAATGTATGTTGCCAATAGCACAGTAACATCGTATCCTCTTACCAGTGACCTCTGCTAGAGAATGAATAACATCTAGCTTGTATATTAATTCATCTTTAGACCTCACCTCCAACAGGCGCCAACAATGTTGTATAACAAGGTTTGTGGCTGATAGTAACACTAGCTAACCAAAAGTCTTAGTTAAAGTCATCAGAAATACCCTGAAGATTAGACCCCACCACTTCTCCTCCCCTACAGATTTTTCTGATTCGTGATGTTGCTTTTATGCCCCTTGAACTCTACAGCATAGCATACATGTTCATTTCGCAAGCTTTGCTTAGTTCATTAATAACCTCAATACTCTAATTTCTTAAGCAGCTATACAAACTGATCCAAACAGCACACAAAACTTTTGGGAGGAAAACAGCTATGAGAGGAAAACAGCTATAAATATTTGATTTTGAGCATTCTTGCCTATGGCATTCAGACATGATTATGATATAGTCATCACACTCTGAGTCAGTATGCATTACACCAGTTAAACCAGTCTCAGCTGGGATTTCTGCCAACAATATTATATGTTGAACATCCATCCATCAAGTATGATACAATAAGAAGTGCAACACCTGAAAAAACACATGAATGACCACAGTAAAATACGACTATTAGAGTGGCATCTTCAGAGCTAATTTTTTTATATTTTTTTAAAAGTTTCATGCCCACAAGAACATTATTTTTATTTTTTAAGGTAAATTGTTTTGCTTGGATTGGAAAATTTTCCCCTTATTTTATGCTGCTTCAGCATTTACAATTCAAGCATATAAAATCTGGCATAGTTCATGAGAACCAGGAAGGTAAATCAATTGGTCTAGGTATCTCCACTGATACGAAGTAAACATGAAGTAAACAAACAGTGAAACAAGTTTTTAAAATTTCACACTTCAGAAAACCAAGCATTACTAGCAGCATTTAGAAAATCCCAATGAATGACTTTGAGCCCAACTGGGCTTCCAACATTGGTATCAAAAGCTAGCCCCAGTTATGCTCATCTGTAAATGTGGCCCAGCTGCCAAGCTCCTCCAGCCTTCCAGATTGGGCCCATAAAATCACTGGGACCAGCTTTAAGGTAAAAAAATTTCATAGTTTTAAATTCAATGTTCTTTTTTATTGTTTTTGTTTCTAAGTCACTTTACATTCATGTTTTCAAGTTTTTTTTCTTTAGCTGCTAGATTAAGAAGAACAGACAGAAAAAAAGAGACTGAAAGAGAAAGAAAAACAAAGAGAAAGAAAAAGGAAGGAAGAGAACGAAAAGAATCTTGACAATGAATGCCTTGTCTTTTATATCTCTTTTTCATAAAATTGACAGTGCTTCAGCAATATCCAACAGTCAGAGCATACTTGGACCTCAATGAAACAAATTTACATCCTAGAACTGATGACTGTGACCAGCACACATATTTTACATCTGAAAAATTATTAAAATACTAAAAACTACAATATAAAACAACAAGGGGAAATAACTTCAGTCCTACTCTATCATGTTAAGTCTGCACTTATCTTTTAAGTAACATCACATCTGTTAACACTAAGATAACAAAAAATACTAGAAATAGAAATCTGACAACACTGCCTGTGGAATGAGGTTGTTTCAGATTCTTACAATACTGGATTATCAAAATAACTCCCATGAAACTGGTACACCAAAGCCATTAATAGCACAGATTTATACTACAGTCTTGGCATCAGGTTTTCTCATTCTCTCCCATTCTCTCCCTCTCTCTCTTTAAAAGAGGATAGTAATTTCAAAACGAAAATGTGCCTCTCCTTAATGTATTTCCACTGTTGTGCTTTCCATGAAAATCTGAAGTGCCAGCAACATTTCTGCTCAGTATGTTTTGAATAAGACATTTCTAGATTCTAAAATGGGATACTTAAACTGTACCACAGACTAATTTTGAACTACCAGATCCCAGCTCCTAGTGGAAAACCCTCCTTTAAATGAGTGCATTCTCATCTTCCATAAGGAAATTCTTTCTGAAAGTTAAGATTTCTTACATGAGTAAGGGTAAACATGATGAGGACTTGAATGTGTGAGCTCTTAAGGACAAGTACTGCTTCCTTTGGATCTTGTACACCACTTAGCAGACTGTCAGCACCTAACCATAACAAATGTTGAGGAAGTATTTAGAAAAAAAAAAATAGGCCTTACTCTGACTTCATTTCCATCAGTCTAAATCAGGAGTAACACAACTAAAGTCACAGGTAAAATTATAACACAAAGGTAAACCTGTCAATGACTTCAACAAGGTGAAGATTTTTTGCCAGGGAATGGTATAAAATCCCTCTCTTTTTACGTTACGTTCATTAGATGTTTCCATATCTGACAAACCAGCTGACACTGAGAGACTCAAATAATGCCACCACTTAAGACATGTTCCCAAACATATTCACTGGAAATTGGAAAGCTTCAGAAACGCATCACAGGATCCATTACTTAGCCTTACCCATTGCAACTTGCACAACCTGGCCTATCATATGATGCTAAGGCGTTTTTCTCTAATTAGATTCCATGTGGAAACTCAAAAGATAGCACTTCCAAAACACTTCCAAAACTGTATATGAATCACAAATGCAACGTGGCATTTAAGCAAGAGGTTGGGAAACTTGACTTCTTTTTCTGTTTCTATATCAGACATACGTCTCCCCAACTCCTGCTGAAAAAACATCATACTGCATGACTTCTCAAATTAAACAAGCTAAACTTTGAAGATACACCTCCCACAAACAGAATACTGATAATTACTTGATGCGGTTGTTTTTAACTGTGTAACGGTCCAGACATCTGATAAGGATACAGACTACATCCATCTTCTATGCTCTATGCCTGGAACCTTGAGAGCTGTGGGCTAAATTCTAGGCTCAACCAAACCTCCAATGTGATCTTGTGAAAACAATCTAGTGTCTGTACTTTGATTCCCAAACTATAAAATGAGAGTGGTAATGTTTCTTTTATTCCGTACTCTATCTTGTTTATTTAGACTGTAACTGTTTTACAGCAAAGATGGTTTTAGGCACACCTACCACAGAAAAGGAGGCTGAGATCTTGCCTAGTGCTTCTACATGCTTCTGTGGTGCATGTAGAATCATACTAGATATAATGCTCAAACACTTAATTTCTGATCCCATTTGATTTCCTCCTTATTCGTATTTGTGCATTCCAGTGTCTAAGGCTATGCTCTCCCAGTGTGCACTGCAATAATTACTATAACACTTCTGCCACTGAGTATTTCTTGACTTGAAAGCTTCTATCCCAAAATCTAACTTTGATTAATCTTTCGACTGCATTAAGAAAGGATACCCTCGCTTGCTCTAGTACAACAGTACTCTGCTGTTTGTAAATTCCTGCAGGCCAATACTGTGCTATCTTCTGAGTTCTCTTCTACTAACACTTCTGCAAGAAAGGTGAGAATGACTTTTCTGTTTTACCAACAAGCAAAAACCAAGAAATGTGGGGTTTATGCTTAGTTTATTTCCCCCTGACTCAGCATTTTAGTTTTGGGGTTACATGAACAACTTACCGGTGATAGGCTTCCCGGCGGTACTTTTTCAGAGCGTGCCCATCCATGTTTGCAGGGAGATCTGCTGCATTCTGGAGTCGGTCGCTCCATGAGGTTGTCATCTTCAAATGCTTATATATTTCTGAAAGAGGCAGAGGAGAAAAGCTTGCTTAAGTTCAAGGTTTGTTTCACCAGAAAGTTGTCTGTTTCCTGGTACGAAGAGATGCAATGCCACTCAGGAAGTCTTACAAAGTACCCGGTGGAATGATCTGAGTTTGCAGGTCAAGTAAGATGCTTTCCTTTCAGATGTTTGATGAGATAGGGTGTTAAAAGAGAGAGCTGGGAAGGCTTTTCCACATGGCTGGAACTGCAAAGATATTCCTATCCGTTGTGGTGAAAATGCGTTTAGAAACAGAGACCTTGTTTTCATTGCTGAAAAGGGGTATTTTTTGACCCTAGAGTTACTAATATGCATTAGCTACAGGTGATGGAAAACCTACCCTTTATACATGAGATAAATTAGGCAGGGCAAACCCTACAAACTGACTGACCTTGCCACTTTCACCACACAGTAAAAATAAAGAGCCTTGTGCCTGGCCATTTGATCTCTAAGCAAAGACAAAGCTTCAAACTGACGCTAAATTAGCAGAAACAATTGGAAGGAAAGTAGAAAGATGATCTTTTGTTCTCTGCAGGTCAGCCGCATTCAGACAGAGCAAGAACGCACTGCAAATCTGTAACACCAGCAATGCAAATATTCACCAACAGATCTTCACAAACATCTGCACCCCTTCACAAGTACTGGTTGCCAAAACCAAACCACTGGACAGTTCTTCTCATTAGGAAGGCCCTGCAGTGAGGAAACAGGGGTACTTTTCCCAATTGTGTTATTAGCACACTGGGGCAATCCTGCTCACCCCCTCCTCCAGCCAGATACATGTCCGGCTGTGTCCCTGGCACCAGGTGGGATGATGAAGCAGCCCCACGGTGAGCCAGTTCAGCTCACCAGTCCAAGTCCTCACCCATCAAAACTAACTGACCAAAAGCAAACAAAAACTGGGTAGTTTGCCACTGGTCAGCAGGCTGAACCCAGCTCAACCTGCCACAACGCTATCATTAGAGCCAGTGCGAAGAACGGGGTGGGAGACGCATCCCACAGTTACACCAAATTAGGTATAACATGAAACCACATTCTTGTGTAACCCACACAACTGCTGGACCGCAGGGCTTAGCTTGTTTGCTCTTCCTTAAAAGAAACAAAACCACCCACAAGCTACACGGGTAATGATACAGCAACCATTTCTAGACACCTTTAAAATACGACTGCCCTCATTTTACAGAAGGGAAACTAGATGATTTCAGCAAAGTAGAGAGTAGAGCAAGTGTCCAAGCCAGCATTAGAAGTCACGGTGCTTTCGGCGGTCACATGCGTGCTCGCTCTCCTAGAGGAGATATGTATAATTTTTTAGTTTTAAATTTGATTAAAGAGCAACAGTTGCAATTGCCAGAGCATTTGTTAGTTGTTGGTCATAAAACCATTTATGACCAGCAACCTACTAGCTGCTGGTCATAAAAATCAAACAGACGGCAAACAGCTTGTCTGTAAAAAATATGTTCCTCCCTCCCCCAGCATTCTCTGCTTGTCTCCCGGTTACTATAACCAAGGTTTACAAATGCATCTTCTGCCACATCCTAAAGGTCACCAAATTTAGGCCCTGGCAGGCAGCCCAAGGGACCGCATGCCAGAGCTGAGAGCTCTCCCCCCCGAATTCCCTGCAACACACCCAGGAGAGGAGGTCACCACAGCGAGAGGGCGACGGGCCATTCCAGCCAGCCGCAACTTCCACAACAGGGCATGCAGGGAGAAGCCGCTTCTAAAATAGCCCAGGCTCCAGCCACCGAGGGCTTACAAGTAATTGCCAGCTATTTAAGCCTTGCCCAAAGGCAGATGGAAGGCAGCACAGGGCACAGAACTAAACAGCCTGCAAGCACCAACCCGTTCCACTTCAAAGGCAGGGCACTGCCTGCAGCAACGCTCCTTACGGGCAGCAAGGGCTGCAGCAGTCCTGATGGAGGAGAGGGGCCTCGGGAGAGCAGCAGTGCCCGTGCAAGAGTGACAGACTCCAGGTCAACAGCCGAGACACATGCGGCACAGTGAGGGATCTGGTATGACCCCAAGACTGCAAACTACAGAAAGGGCTTGTGTCCCGTGAGGGTGGAAAAATCATCTACTCCATGGACGTTTCAAGATGGTCCAGAACATCACTACCTTGGTCTTACCTGGAGATATTTTAAAGCTACTAACCCAGAGCTACAGATTCAGATCCAAAAGACATATATATTTAAGGCCTCTAAAAGGCAAGTTAAATAGCTCTGAAAAAACTGTTGCATGGCTGGCCTTATGACTCGTAGACAGGTCCAGGTCTAGGTCTTCCAGCTGAAACAAGTCCAAATCCAAGCTTCCTGCCATTTAGAAGGGCTACACTATTCTGCTTACCCAGCCAGACACATAGCAAGATTCAAAGATCTACACCCACAGCCAAAGCCAGAGACTTTCCATTCTGCCAGCCTCTTCTTCCCACTTCATCTGCTTCCCATCACCATCATACCACATCAGAGATGCTGACAGAGGTACTAGGACAGGACTGCTCCCAACAGCCATCCATGCCAGACACCTGATAGTTTGCCAATTGCATTCTAAAAAATATCCTAAAATCCAGATGGCAGAAGAACTTTAGCAGGTTACCTTTAATAACAACCTTTCTAAAATGAGGAATCAGTGAAGCAGTTTGAGCTCCTATGTGATAAACTCTCCGCTACAGTAGGAGAAACCAGACTGCATCAGACACGCACTGTGTGCGCTGGGATTCAAAAAGTTGAGACCTGAGGAAACCACAAAAATCTGAATTTCCATAATTAAGCAAGAAAGGCCTGAATTATTTTAATGTTCCAGCAGTATTTTGCTGTAGCTGTGATGAACAGAGTTCATAGGCAGGACAAGTTTGTAGACAGAGGCAATATCTTTTATTAGACCAACTGGTATGGCTGGAAAAAATAGACGAGCTCTTGGGCATACAAGCTTGTCTAAGTTTTCAAACTCTATCAGTTGCTCTAATAAAAGATATTACCTCTATCTTCAGGCTTTGCCCTGATTTATTTATTAAAATCTTTCTTTTAATGTTCACACAGCATAAAATAAAAAAATCTTATGCTGAAGTTTTGTATTACATGAACTCAAAGGCACTCTTACAGCTTAGCAGGCTCCACTGGCGGTGTGACAATAGCTTACTGCTCTGAAATAAAACAGTAACAACTGAAAAAAGAGATTGTGATGGATGTTCCCCACCCAAAAGTCTTACTCACACAAAAAGTCTCACGGACTTCAATGAAATTGTTCTGATGCTTCAAAGGTGTAAAAATCAGCCTACCTGCACGGGTAAGAGATATGGGACCTGATCCCTGAATACAAATTCCTTCTTCCAAATAGAGAGAGAAAAATAAGAAGGGCTGAATCACTACATACACTTGTAAGCCACTGGAATAAACATCTAAGAGAGCGGGCAGCCAGCCAGGCAAGATTCTCAACTCTGAGCAACTGAAATACGATGCATCTTTCTTTAGTTACAAATCTATTTTTGAAATCAATAACCTGTAAATAGCTTCACATAAAAATAGAAATCTTTACATAGATAAAGCATGTCAGAACACCTCCCCGTAATTTATTGCAAACATGCTCCTTGCTAGTGCAGTCTTAATAAAGCATCCGATAGCATTTATGGTACAGGTTTAATTTTAAAAAAGTATTTAAAATCTCAGCATCAAAGCTTTGATACAGAGCTACTATCCAGCACATATGCTTTGGTCCAAAAGAACATGATATTTTTAGCACATACTTTGAAGTAAGTCCATTTGCTTCTTTTGTCAGGTTTTGGCTGATTTCAAGTATTATCCATAGTGTATTTTTTTCAAGTACTCATACATATAAAATAACATGTCCAGAAGCATTCCCCTTCAAGTTTTACTATTATTTTTCTTATCTTTTTGGCCAACAAACAGTTAGAAATTTCTGCACCTGATAATACTTGATGTGTTCAGGTTAAATGCACTGCCTGTATTTTTTTCTGAGTTTGTTTTAACACTTTGATGATGCAATGGCAAATCAGAGGCACATGCACTAAAATGTAGACATGAACAAAAAAGCAGTGACAATCCCACTTTGTCCAGGATATTCTCCGAGAACTTATATAGCAGAAAACAAAAGCATCGCTAACCAATCCCAAGGTTGTAGCTTACTCACACTGATTTGCCATACACTGTATCTGCCTCTTCTCACACATTCTGCTTTAAGAATCCTTAATAACTTGCAAGTACGACCCACACATGCATGTGCACAGTGGAAAGCGAACAGAAAGAAAAATCATCACACCTAACATTAGCTACTTAAAAGCTTTGTTTCTAGTTGGAGGCTGTGGGTGTACAGACAAGTCTCATGGTGCCCTTGCCAAGCCTAGAGCAGTTCCTGGCTCCCCACTGCAATGCTGCTCCATCTCAGGTGGCTTTGTGGGGTCTCAGCAAGGGAGTAATGAACCATGTTAAAATACCAAGAAAGGGAAAAAGCAAAGTGAGCAGGATTTATGTTGGCTTGTTCAAGACTCAGATCAAATTCCTGGTCCAGGTCATGGCATGGCCTCATAAACAGGGAGGAGAAAAACAGTTTTCTTCTGCAGCTGAGAGGACTGTCCATGTAAGGGTGGTTAAGAAAAGTGAGTGACTCGCTTTCCAGGAGCATCCCTCTCCCTCCACCAAGGGCAGAAGTAGCTTGCATCTAGGTTAGGCTAGACAGTTGGGACAGCTAGCATCAGAGGAGGTGAAACCCACTCAGGTTAGCATCATATCCTCTGATCCTCTGACAACCTGGGATGGACTGCAGAAAGTGGCCAGGACTGTGCCATCCCCCTCAACAGCATCTCCTACTGCCACTGTGCGATCAGGGGCTGGGCAGGCTTCTGGCCTCACCCGGCACGGCAGTTCCTACGCCTGCGATCCCAAAGCACTTCACAAACTCTTGTTCACATAATACATTTAGGGGCAGCAAAAGGTGCTGTCCCCGTTTTGTCAGCTAAGGATAGCAGGGC